CACACACACACCCCCCCCCCCACACACACACACACACACACACAAACACACCTACAAACACACACCTTTCTGTGGACAGACACGATCAATTGTCATTTGCAAGCGTGACATGAAGGAACAAATCCATTCCCCACATCTGCAGGAGACTTCAGATCTTTTCTCCTTTTTTTATTTTCAAACCTGGAGTGGAGCTCACTGTTGCACAACAATTACTTCTGCTGCAAACACCTTTYCAATTCATCCAGCAGCATCTGTCGAAACCATCTACCTGCATGTAATGTGAGGCAGTCCTTTAATAAAAGTAAAGAAACTGGGCTGGCGCTCCCCTGTGAACGTAGCTGTCGGGGAGCTTGACCTTGCGGTTTATCCTTTTGTTTTGATTAAGAAGGTTCCACTTCCTACTGTATCGACTGTGTCGAATCAGAGCAATTAACGACGGGCTGAATATGAGCCAAAAGATAGACGAGAGCCCCGCGGGCGAGAAAACAAATGAGATCCCCAAGGATCCAGTTTCATCTACCTACTTATTCTTTCATGATTTAATCTGGTTCCCAAACCTTTCAGCTTTCGRCCCACAAAACGGAACGGAAGAGGCTTGAAGTGCAGAAACCTCTGAAACAAGCCAGTTTAACAAAGAACCGCATTTCAACCAGTTTATTATTTCATTCATTTCTGTCCCTCAGGTAAATTCCACGGCCTCGTCACTCTGAGGCTGCAGGTTTGAGCCCAGACTGCAGCAGGAAGGGCATCTGGTGCAAAACAATCACAAAATCTTTTGTGCAAGTTTAGTTTAGCAGATGGAAAAAAAAATGTCATTTTTATCTCTGTGTAACAGTTAGGGCTAACTATGTTGTTTCTAATCTCCATAATGTGTGTCGACCCACAGTGGGGTGCTGACCACTGCTATTATACGACAGTGTTTGAGAAAAGCCTAATTTAAATCAGAGATTGTTCCTACAGAGAATGCAACATGGAAAAAAATTAAAGCAAAATCACTTGAGTCATGATGACATTTGACTGATGGACAAGAAAGACGAAAAATGCCTTGTGCTCACGCTCAGACTGTGTGTTGTTAATGACTTTCAGCTACCACCACACCTAATTTTAGCTCAATAATAACAAACACTGACTGGATTATAGCCATTTTTCAGGGTCAGTTGTCTGCAGCAACTACTCTGATTTGGGCTGGCTTCAAACACTGAAGAGTTGTAAATGAACACTCCATGCTTACGCCCTGATATGTCAATCAAATGAATTCAGTAGTCTGTGAGATATTTTGCTAACAGACAGACAGGGGCGTTATCACTCTCTTTGCCACGTCTAAAACACAGAGCAGTGTGTGGGGCAGGCAGCACAGATGATACCTCCCTGTGGTGAGA